GGCTGAAAAAAAGACTAAGTCCCATCGCCGAATGGGACTTAGTCTCTGCAGCTGAAATAAGGCTGAAAAAAACGGCTGAAAAAAAGGCTAAGTCCCATCGCTGAATGGGACTTAGTCTCTGCAGCTGAAATAATTTCCCATTTACTGAACCAAGTGGGAAATAGCAAGGCAGGCACAAAGGGTTTGCACCAGGTCTGGGGACACAGGGGACACCGTCTTAAAGGGGCCGTGTCCCCAACAAGTCTGGGGACACGGCCTTAAAGGGGCAGTGTCCCAATCTTCCTGGTGTCCCAAAAAAGGTGTTTAAAGGGCCAGCACCAGTCACATAAAGAGTCCATAAGCCCCAATATGCCCACCGACAGTCTTAAAGGGCCATACACACCAAATAAAAGTGCATACATTTTTCACAATCTCCCAGGGGCCATAGTCATGCGGGAGGAGGCTGGCAAATAGGCTTCTCCACAACCCAGGGAAGCAGGGCAATTTGCCATTTAAAGGGCCCGTTACAAGTAGCAGTTTGTAACAAGGTGTCAATCCATATCTGCCAAGTGACCCGATGTAGGGGACCAGTCCCTATTCTGCTCTGTGTCAGTGTGTACCAGGGAACCTTAGGACAGGTGTCAATCCATATCTGCCAAGTGACCCGATGTAGGGGGAACAGTCCCTATTCTGCTCTGTGTCAGTGTGTATCATGGTCTCTGAGGACAGGTGTCAATCCATATTTGCCAAGTGACCCTATGTAGGGGGACCAGTCCCTATTCTGCTCTGTGTCCGTGTGCATCAGGGGCTCTGAGGACAGGTGTCAATCCATATGTCAAGGTGTCAATATGTCATATGTCAGGTGTCAATCCATATCCATTGTGATTTAGGAATGTTAGGTGATTTATGCCCTTTATGGATTAAGACCAGACTCTGTATCAACTGTGTAATTTTCCATGGGAGTTTTGCCATGGATCCCCCTCCGGCATGTCACAGTCCAGGTGTTAGTCCCCTTGAAACAACTTTTCCATCCCTATTGTGGCCAGAAAGAGTCCCTGTGTGTTTTAAAATTCGCCTCCCCATTGAAGTCAATGGCGTTTCGGGCGGTTCGCCGGTTCGCGAACATTTGCGGAAGTTCGCGTTCGCCGTTCGCGAACCGAAAATTTCGGGTTCGCGACATCACTAGTCATTACACTGACTGGCCAAGTAACTTACATTTTATATGAATTTATGTTACTTGATTGTTGTAAGTGTTGCAAATGCTTACAGCTGAATCCTGGCTATGTTTGTATACTTTTTACTTAAAATTGTATACAGTGTAACATTCTTCTTCTTCCAATGGGTAAGTATATTAGTACTTAAGCAATACTGTGCTTCAGAACTTTGGCAATTCAGCACTTCGGCACTTCGGAACTTCGGCAACTTCGGCACTTTGGAATTTTGGTAATTTCGGAACTTCGGGACATCGGTAATTCGACAATTCGGCACTTCGGAAGTACCATTCATATTCAGCCTGAAACGAATTGCACATGTCTATGGGATACACAGTTCACTGCAGAATTGACTCAGCAGCAATGGAAGGTCTGCAGGATTAAACCCCTGACAAGCTCCACATACCATCCTCAGACTAACGGTCTCTGTAAGTGCTTTAACAGGACTCTGAAGCAAATACTGAAGATGTTCACGGGCGCCTACAGAGACTGTGAGCGATTCCTGCTGCACCTTCTCTTTGCATACCGGGAGATGCCCCAGGAATCAACAGGATTTTCACCCTTTGAGCTATTGTACGGGAGGCGCGTGAGGGGACACCAAGACCTTATTAAAGATCTTTGGGAGGGCCAGACAGAGATCGAGGGGACCCCGATTGTGCCCTGTGTGCTGGAGCTGAGGGACCGCATGGAGAAATTGGCTCAATATGGTACGACCGCAGAGCCATTCACCAGAGCTTTCAAATTGGACAAAAAGTTATGGTTCTAAAGCCAGTCCGAAAAGACAAGCTTCAGGTGGCCTGGCAGGGTCCGTATAAGGTTGTTGGGCAGGTCTGCAATACCACCTAAATCATATAGCTGTGAGAATGAGGATGTGAGACGGACCTTTCACATCAATATGCTCACATCTTATAAAGAAAGGGCTGAAGAAGTGACGACCATATGTGCCGCAGCAGGGGAGGACACAGAAGCCTTACCCTTACTAGACCTGTTACGGCATAACTGGGAGACGAGGAATATAGAGTTGGTCCAACTGGGGGAACAGCGGAGACCTCATGAATGGGCTTAAACCAACCTCCTGCTGGATGACAAACAAGTCACGTTCTCCCCAGAACCCGGGTACACCCCGTTATTGGTCCACAAAGTAGACACCCCAGGACAGACTCCCTTGAAACAACCTCCGTGCCACAAGCTGTTAGAGGCAGAATGCAGAAGGAAATAGAGGCGATGCTCTGCCTCGGAGTAATAGAACATTCAGAGAGTCTTTGGGCCTCACCTGTGGTCTTGGTGCAAAAGTAGGACAGCACGACCCGTTTTTGTGTCGATTACAGGTGACTCAACGACAAAACAGTGACAGACACCTTCCCCATGCCCCGCATAGACGAACTGCTTGACCGTATATCTAAAGGGAAATATCTGACCACTATCAACCTCTGCAAGGGATACTGGCAGATACCCCTAGCAGAAGACGCCGCTCCCAAGTCAGCCTTAATCACCCAGTTCGGCCTATACCAATTTCGAGTTATGGCTTTGGGGATGAAGAATGCTCCAGCCACCTTCCAAAGGATAGTGAACCACCTCCTAGATGGTCTCCAGGACTATGCTTGTGAATACCTGGACAACATCGCTATTCCAGGACTATGCTTGTGCATACCTGGACGACACCTGGGAGGCTCACATAGAACACATAGGGACAGTATTAGATAGGATTAGGGGTGCTGGTTTGACACTGAAGCCTGACAAGTGTCACATCGGTATGGCGGAGGTGCAATATTTGGGCCACCGTGTTGGGTGTGGTAAGCAACTACCAGAGCCAGCTAAGATCGAGGCCATTGCTAATTGGCCCACTCACCTTACCAAGATGAAAGTCATGGCCATCCTAGGGACAGCCGGCTATTACAGGCGTTTTGTTCCCGACTATAGCGTCCTGGCCAAACCTCTGACCGACCTGACTAAAAAAAGCTACCCCAACAGGTCCTGTGGTCCCCAGAGTGTGAGGGGGCTTTCCAAGCTCTAAAACAAACTCTTGTCAATGCCCCTGTTTTGGCTGCCCCAGATCCTAAAAAACACTTTATCTTCCATACAGACGCTTCCATGTTTGGACTGGGGGCAGTTTTGAGCCAAATCGGAGAGGACGGTGGAGAGCACCCGGTGGCCTATCTGAGTCGGAAACTTTTGCCTAGGGAGGTCAGCTACGCCATTGAGAAAGAATGGTTGGCCCTAGTCTGGGCACTCAAGAAACTGACCCCTTATCTGTATGGCCGCGCCTTCACCCTCATCACAGTCCAGAACCACCTAGTCTGGCTCAACCGGGTCTCTGTAGATAATACCCGTCTGCTACAGTGGAGTCTTACCCTACATCCCTACGACTTCACCATTCACTATCGTCCAGACAAACAAAATAAGAACGCAGATGGACTTTCACGCCAGACTGATCTGCTACCGGAGTAGCCACTGGAAGTCCCGACAGTCCCTACTGGTCCAACTGTGACTGCCAACGCAGGGAGTAAAAGGGGGGCCCGTGTGAAGGAATTCCCAGCACCGTTCGGCTATTTCCACTCCCTGCTATCTATTTCCCTTAGTTATTCATTTTATTTTATGTCCGTGCGTTAAATCATTTGTTTTGCCGAACAGAGACCACCTTGGAACTAATTAGAACATGGAACACTGTAGCAATCCGGAAATCGCAGACTGCTTGAATGCTCCTAGGTGTCCGCCATTTCGTGCAGATGAACGCATGTGGTGAGAACAACGGACAGCGGCCATCTTGTCTCCCGAACGTGGCCAGCCGGACTTGGTTGTTGAGTGCCTGGAACTGTTTTCAGCAATGCACTCGCATGAACGCCGGTCTAGATGGAAGTCCCCTATGTTCTATTTCCCAGAACTGTAGACAAACAGCATTCGGGAGTTTGAAACAGACGAACGACAGGAGCATTCTACATGAACCATTTCTATTTCACCTATTGCGTTTTTCATATGAATCCACACGAACGGAGACAGGCTCTTGCTACAAATCCTCTGGAACTGTTTCTTGGATTCACCCTCGTAGCAGATTGGTCAACTTTTCACATGGTGCCGTTCGAAAATTACCAAACGGATTTGGCTGAAATTTTAATATGTTTCTCCCACAAAGATCAGCTACCCAGGGATGTGACTTTTGTGGGGTTTTATGTATTTTTGGGGTATTTCTAAAAATTGTGAAAATGTTAACTTTTTCTGGCCAGCAGAAAATTGAGTTTAGTATGTTTCCAAAACTTAATTATTTCACTGGCTCAGAGGAGAAGTTACGTGTTGTATAAATTGAATGCCTGTTTTGCCATTAAACCAGTTTTGTCCCAGCATTAAGCTTTGGCTCATGTGTGGGTTATTATGCAACACCAACGACACTGGAACCTTTGGATTACTGGTGATATTATTTCATGGAATAAGGGAACATCAAACGGTAATAACTATTCTGACCGTCACAGGTAGGGTTAGGGTTAGGGTAGGGTTACGGTATGTTTAGGGTTAGGGGTAGGGTTAGGGGTAGGGTTAGGGGTAGGGATAAGGGTAGGGGTAGGGCTAGGTTAGGGTAGGGTTAGTTTAGATGTAGGGTTAGGGTAGGGTTAGGTTTATGGTAGGGTTAGAGAAAGGGTTATGGTAGGGTTATGGTAGGGTTAGGGTTAGAGGTAGGGTTGGGTTAGGTTAGGAGCAGAGTTAGTGTTAGGAGTAGGGTTATGGTAGGGTTAGGGGTAAGTACAGGGTTAGGGTATGCATGTGTGGTAGGGTAGGGTTAGGAATAGGGTTAGGGTTACCCTACCCCTACCCCTATATCTAACCCTACTCCAACCACTAACCCTACCCCAACCCTTAACCCTACCCATATCCCTAAACCTACCTCTAACCCTACCTCTACCCAGTGGTGTACCTATCACGGTCGCAGGGGTTGCAGCTGTGACTGGGCCCCTCACTGCAGGGGGCCCGGCAGTAGCCACAACCCCTGCAACTGTGGGCTGCCTAGATACAGCCCCCGTGCTCCTAGTATGGGTCGCCTGGGGTTCTAACACCTTGAGGGGATCCTGGAGCTGTGCAGGGAACACAGCACACATGTCACCCAGCATGCCCTCCAGAGACATTTTTACTGACGATATCATTGTCACCCAGACAACCTCCCTTCATCATGTCACCCAGCACACCCTCCCTTCCTCTGCACACCTATGTGGAGCGGCTGCAGGGTCTGGTGTCAAGGAGAGAGTGCAGCACTTCCTGCACTTGTAGTGCTCCACCAAAGAACTGAAACATCTACCAGCAGCTGGGAAGAGAGCCAGGTGCGCCCCCACTCCTGGGTTGCCGAGGTCCACATGGCATCCGCCTCTTCTGTGACACCAAGTTTTATTATTGTTCATGAGCATTCATTTATGGCTACAGTCTACACATATCTTACTGGGTACTTCCAGCATGGTAGCACATCATGCCACAAAGTACGTATAATTTCATAGTTATTCTATGAACATGGCCATATGTTCAGTGTACTCCAACTGCACATTTGAAATGTGATGGAATGGAATATTTGCAACATGAGTGTGCAACCTATAAATCTGCAACATTTGCTTAGTGCTATCAACATGGACCAAAATCTCTACCTACATGTTTCCTGTAATAAAATTAATTTTACTTCCCAGTGGAAAATGAATACATTACATGTGGTTTTGTTGGGCTCATATTAATAGCTGAACTGTTTTGCAATATGATTTGCACAAGCTATATCAATATTATCCTCAATAAGAAATAACTCAATGTCTAAGCAAAGTCAGTTTTGTGGCTCTTATCAAAGCATCATTAAAACAGATTTGATTCATATTTTCACACTGACCAGTAGAAAAAGTGAAAATGGGACACCAGAATGAATGGAATTTAGCAATTTCTGTTTATGTAATCAATTCAATAACAGGGCTAATGGTTAATTTATTTATTGTTACTGTAAATATAATTGACTGGTTGAGGCAGAGATAGATAAAGGAGTGTGACAAAATCCAATGCTCTTTAGCAATTTCAAGATTGGGCACTCAGTTTCTCTCTTTACTTGACTTTGTGACATATCATAATCCATTTTCAGATATATCATTAATTATCTTTGTATTTTGTGAAATTATATGTTTTTACACCAGTCTTTGGTTTGATGCCCTGCTTTCTTCCCTCTATTTTATGAAGATTACAAACTACAAGAATAACCTATTTTTGCATCTAAAAAGGATGATATCAGAAAGAGTGCTGTATTTCATAATTACAGCTCTGCTCATATCATTATGTTATTCCTGTCTGGATATTTGGGCTGTCTACAGTGGCTTAGTATTTAATAATTCTACACAAACTAAATATCTATTGAATGATAACTGCAGGCATTCTCAGTTAGCAAAGTCTGTCCTTATCTTCATTGCTGGAAATTGTGGACCTTTTATTATTTACAGCACCTCCATCACGCTGTTACTGATTTCTCTATGCCATAGGACGAAGCGAATGAGAGACAGAGATGCTGGTTTACACCAAAACACCTGGACAGCTACTATGTTGCTATAAAATCAGTTGCTGCCTGTTTCTTCATTAATGGTTTACAGTTTGGTATAACTGTGCTCTCTATGAAATGTATTTCTTTAGCTGAAGATTTATGGATTCTCATATCATTGTATTTCTTTCCTAACTTTCACTCCAGTTACCTGGTCTATGGAACCTCCAAGTTACGGCAACAATTTTATAATATTTTTAAACTTGGAGGAACCTGTGCAATGAGAAGAGGAGATACTGAAATCAACTTGAATGGCCAAATGGAGACTCCGTTAGAACCACCAAGCAACATAACTCTTTGTCACTCATTCTTAACTAGCATTAGTTTGTGGACCCAGGACATACTTGAAAATGAGAGAAATGTCAATGTATCCATCCTGGTAAAATATTTTATAAACAAATAAATCATTACATATGTCTATCTATCAATCTATCTATCTATACAGTATCTACCTATCTATCTATACAGTATCTATCTATCCAGTATCTTTCTACCTATCTATCTATATATCTATCTACCTATCTATCTATATATCTATCTCTATCTATCTCTACAGTATCTATCTATCTATCTATCTATCTATCTATCTATCTATCCATCTTCCTCGCTCTTCTTTTGTTATACTTAAATTATAATACTAAAATGCAAACTAACATATATGTTTCTTAACATTTTTAGTTTATGACAAAGAGAAACATTCTAAAGAATGTTTTCATATAATTTCATGATTCAATTTTTGTATAGATTGTATTTATGTCCATACTGTTATGAAATGTTATGAAATGGCATACAGTTAGAAAATGTTGTAATGTTAACACTAATAAACAGTGATGTCCCGAACGGTTCGCTGGCGAATAGTTCCAGGCGAACATCGCTTGTTCGCGTTCACGCGGATGGCGAACATATGCGCTGTTCGGTCCGCCCCCTATTCGTCATGATTGAGTAAAACTTTGACCCTGTACCTCACAGTCAGCAGACACATTCCAGCCAATCAGCAGCAGACCCTCCCTCCCAGACCATTCCAGCTCAGCATCCATTTTACATTCATTGTGAAGCTGCATTTTTAGTGAGAGGAGGGACAGTGTAGCTGCTGCTGATTTGATAGGGAAATTGATAGCTAGGCTAGTGTATTCAGTGTCCACTACAGTCCTGAAGGACTCATCTGATCTCTGCTGTAAGGACAGCACCCCAAAAAGCCCTTTTTAGGGCTAGAACATCAGCCTGCTTTTTTTTTCTGTGTAATATAATTGCAGTTGCCTGCCTGCCAGCCTGTGTGTCAGGCTCACAGCATATACTGTGCCCACTTGCCTCACTCACTGGTGTCACAATAGCTTGGATTTAAAAAAAAAAACAACAACTTTTTTGACTATAATATAATAGCAGTCAGTTTCCTTCACTAGTGTGCGTTTCGGGGCCTGCCCAATGCCACCACTCACTCACTGGTGTCACAATAGCTTGCATTTAAAAAAAAACAAAAAAAACTTTTTTGACTGTAATATAATAGCAGTCAGTTTCCTTCACGAGTGTGCGCTTCAGGGCCTGCCCAGTGCCACCACTCACTCACTGGTGTCCCAATAGCTTGCATTTAAAAAAAACTAAACTTTTTGGACTGTAATATAATAGCCGTCAGTTTCCTTCATGAGTGTGCGTTTCAGGGCCTGCCCAGTGCCACCACTCACTCAGTGGTGTCCCAATAGCTTGCATTTAAAAAAAACAAAACGTTTTGGACTGTAATATAATAGCAGTCAGTTTCCTTCACACGTGTGCGTTTCAGGGCCTGCCAGGGCACAGTGTCACACCAGTGCAGGTGTGTGGCCATTTCAGGCGTTCCTACACGGCCGTGGCACACTTTTCAGATATCCAGCGGCAAAAAAACATGCCAGTGAGGTGCTTGATTTGCGACAGCCCGACACGTTGGAATTCAACACTCCTAATGTTCGACCGCCTGCTCCAACAAGAAAAAGCCATTAACGAGTATTTGTATGACCGGGTTGCTAGGACATCCTCTGCGGAGCTGGGAATTTTTTTGCCAAGTTACTGGACGCTCATGCGCAATGCCTGTAGGCTCATGCGTCCTTTTGAGGCGGTGACAAACCTAGTCAGTTGCACCGAAGGCACCATCAGCGACATCATACCATTTGTTTTCTTCCTGGAGCGTGCCCTGCAAAGAGTGCTGGATCAGGCCATAGATGAGCGTGAAGAGGAAGAGTTGTGGTCACCATCACCACCAGAAACAGCCTTATCAACATCGCTTGCTGGACCTGCGGCAACGCTGGAAGAGGATTGTGAGGAAGAGAAGTCAGAGGAGGAATGTGGCTTTGAGGAGGAGGAGGAGGAGGAAGACCAACCACAACAGGCATCCCAGGGTGCTCGTTGTCACCTATCTGGTACCCGTGGTGTTGTACGTGGCTGGGGGGAGATCACTGAGGACGAGGAACAGGACATGAGTAGCTCGGCATCCAACCTTGTGCAAATGGGGTATTTCATGCTGTCGTGCCTGTTGAGGGACCCTCATATAAAAAGGCTGAAGGAGAACGACCTGTACTGGGTGTCCACGCTACTAGACCCCCGGTATAAGCAGAAAGTGCCTGAAATGTTACCAAATTATGGCAAGTCGGGAAAGATGCAGCAGTTCCAAAATCAATTAAAAAGTATGCTTTACACAGCGTGTAAGGGTGATGTCACAGCACAACGGGAATTTAACAGGGGAAGAGGTGAAAGTAATCCTCCTCCTCCCACGACCACGCCGGCAAGGACAGGACGCTTTACAGACGTGTTGTTGATGGAGGACATGCGGAGCTTTTTAAGTCCTACGCATCGCCACAGCCCTTCGGGGTCCACCCTCAGAGAACGACTAGACCGACAGGTAGCAGACTACCTCGCCTTAACTGCAGATATCGACACTCTGAGGAGCGATGAACCCCTTGACTACTGGGTGTGCAGGCTTGACCTGTGGCCTGAGCTATCCCAATTTGTGATAGAACTTCTGGCCTGCCCCGCTTCAAGTGTCCTGTCAGAAAGGACCTTCAGTGCAGCAGGAGGTATTGTCACTGAGAAGAGAAGTCGCCTAGGTCAAAAAGTCTAGATTACCTCACCTTTATTAAGATGAATGAGGGATGGATCCCGAAGGGACTGACAGTGGGCGATACATTCGACTAAAAAAGGCCTGATGAGGGGGACGTAACAGGGTGTCGTGGCTGCCAGCCCCCCGCGTGATATTTAAATCCCTAGCTCACCCCAGTACCTTGCCCTGTCGTGGTTTACTGTTCCTGGTTTCCTGAGAGTGCATTATCATTGTGAATTGACTTCCTGGTATCCTGATCTTGGCTTTTCCCTGGTTATTCTGAA